CGGGGCGCCGGATATGTCGGCGCTGGCGGGCATGATGGGCGGAGGCGCTCCGGGGGCGGGCGGTTCCGGGATCAACGACGACGAAAACAACAGCTGATAGGCCGGCCCGCCGGCCGGCCGTCTTGTTGCTTATCTGCTCTTGACCAAGCGCTTCCAGGGCTTGGATGCGCGGCGGCTGTAGTCGCCCGGTAGAGTCTGCCGGCCTCCCTGACCTGCGCTGTAGAGGCGAGGCATGGCCTGTCGGGGCGTCGCGATCGTCGTACGGGCGGAAGCGTCTATTTCGGCCAACGGTCCAGACGGGAGGGCCGACGAACTTGTGCATTGGCCCTCTCCACCCCCCGGTCACGATGCAGGAGCTTCACAAACCGGTCGCGGGTTTGGTTTCGAGCGGTAGAAACCGGTTGCAGTTTTCAAGCGGTACAATACCGTGGAGATAATGTCAGCGATTGTACGTGTCGAGGAAGTTCACGTGGTCGTATGCGAGAGCGCGGCGGCTCCGTCGAGGTAGTTTCACGGCAGCCTGGGATACCCCTGCCCCGAATATTCCCCGTGTAGTATCTAGTACTGGTCGTTTCATCGTGATATTTTAGCTCTGTTCGTTGCCCATTCGGATCTGTTCAGTTCGTGTTTTTGTCCTTTGTGTCGAAGGTTGATGAGCGCCGCTTGTGACGGGCAGCAGTAGGCGAGAGGAGCGGCAGCGGCACAGTTGCCCACTGCTCGCCTACGCCAGAAACGCGAAGAAAGATAGCAAATCAGCGCAAATAACATACTCCGTATGCTCACCGAGAAATATCGTCATTCTGCAGTACTGTAGCCCGCTCGTGAGAATCACGGTACTTGAACACAAGGCGCTATACACTAAACCCTATATTTATGTAGGTTTCGTCCCACGGAGCACACTCAACTTGGGCTTATGTTATGTACCACGTTGTGATGACTGGGACGGGATGATTCCGCACCGTCACCGCGACACCTTTTCACCACGCTAGTGTCTTGTTGACACGTACAGTACGTCTGGAAAATGGTATTCAGGCTGGACCGTGGCTGCTTGGTGTTTTGTGGCCCCTCTACACATGAAGGGAGCGAGCGGTACATGTAGTGGGTGTGCATGTGTGCGAGCGTTGCGCCCGCTTCTTCTCGCTGAATAAACCGACGATGTGTGGGCTGGCGGAGGCCTTTTTTTCGCCATTCCATACGGTTAATCCCCTCGTTGCGTGTGGATCCGACTAGGCCCTGTCGGAGAAGACTCGCTTGCCCGCCTGGCCGCGACCGTCGTGGATTGGAAATCGACGCACGTGGCAGCAGTACCAGACCACACCGGCAGTCGCACGAAAAGCTTGACTGTCCCTTCTTGGTGCGACGTGGCGGAAGAGGCCACTACGGCAAAAAAAACGAAAGACAGATAGATCATCACTTCGAAATCAAAGTATTTCCGGTTTGGCGAGAAACTATTACACAGCGCGCACGGGATACGTCAACGCCCCCTGGTCACGTGGCGGCCGCGAAAAGAAGGCACGATGGGGAAGTTCTGGACGAGAGTTCGCTGGACCACATTCGTTACAATGTGACTCCGATTTGTCTTCGGCCGTCTGCTGCCAGACGGCGGTGGCACCTGATGGCGACACGGTTTTCTGTGGGCTCAACGAGCTCCCATGGTTTGTTGGTTCGTCAGTTCAATGGAATCCATCGCGAAACAACAGCACCACCAAGAATTCAACCACCCCTGGAGCATGCAGATGATTTCCTCCCTACACGCTGTTCCTTCCGTCATACACCCCTTGTATACACAAACGAAAATCTATGTGCAAGGCCCTGCAGCGGACCGATGGGACTCTCTGCGCGACGCCGAGCTCGAGCGTCTGCTCATGAAAGCCGTCTTAGACGGCCATGTCCGCCCACAAGCGACCCCGCTTGTCCTTTCCGTCGTTTCGCCGTGCCCCACGGGTACAGAGGCACCGTCAACTTTCTTTCCAGTCCTCGCTCGTCACCCTAGATGTTCCACAATACCCTTTTTGATGCCCAGCGCCGACATCTGCTTGTCGGCCCTCTCGCGCTTGCTGGACATCTTCGACTCGTGCCACCGCCTTCTGCCCTCGTCCTCCCATGCCGTCTGCCACCGCACCTGCTCGCAAGACGTTCGTTGTCGATGTGTGCACACAGCATCAGAGGCGTGTGCACACGATGTCGTTTTCGGACGGCGTGTGTCGGGAACATTTGAGCTGTGTTCAAGCGTCTGAAACTTTAACCTGGCAGCATAAGCCCATAGAATAACGTGCGCGGCCGAACATCGGATCAAGAAGGTCAACAACAGTGAACAGTGGTCGTCGAACGTTGTAACGGTAATGTCGGCCTCGGAGGTTGGGTACAAAGACCATCGACACGACGCGGCTCCGCTGGTAAGCAAAGCGGCCCTGTGTCTGGATCTCCTCTTTCACCGAGCAACAAAGCCGTTGGGTTTGTTGGGATCACGCGGCATATCTCATTCGCCCATGCCATGCTCTGTTCCCAGCGCACCAACAACCCCACCTGGCACACGGCCCTATCGCCATCTGCTTTTATTTCGACAATCACGGGGTGTACAGCAGTAGCACCGAGTACTGACAACGAAAGCGAGAGTGTCTGCAAACGGGTGGGTGAGACTGCGGTCTCTGGCCTATTTACTGCCCTATCGAACGGCGCCTGCCCCCCCCACACCCTCTATTATATACGCCACACGTGTGCTCGGGACAGAAACAAAAAACGTCACGAAATATGCCTACCGTTCAAGCAGACAGAGAGTGAAAGGAAACCATACAAAAGGAGGTATGCAGGTGTATCACGCACGGTCATGATATCGCTTCATCACGACAAAGACGTTGTTATGTTTTCGTGGAGACCACGCAAGTGAACAGGGGGGCGCTACAGAAAAGAATACTTGAGCTTCCACTTAATGATCCGCCATGATCAATCACCCTCAATGAGTACTCTGGGAAAGCGACGATGACGACGACGACGACGACGACGATGACGACTCGCCTGCGGTAGTCGCACAAGCTTGGCGCGGGCGTGCTCGGCCCCCAGTAACGCCTGCAGCGCTGCGATGGCCGTGACCTCCTCTACCCCCGCCGGAACGCCGGGAAGCAGCCCTTCGGCGACGCCCAAGAACCTGTTGAGAGGGGACACAAAGAAAACGTGGTCGCAGGGGATGATGGGTGCGGACAATGGAATATGGGAGAGCGACAAAAACGAAGGCAGAGAGAGAAATAGGTGAGGAATATGTAGATAGGCAGGGGGAGAGAGAGAGAGAGAGAGAGAGAGAGAGAGAGAGAGAGAGAGA